CATATAGAGTAGAGCCTGTAAGTGTTTCTTGGATTGGGCAGGGAGTAGAGAGGAGCGAGACAAGGCTGAAATGCCACACTGCTTTTGTCTTTAACTTAGGAAGTCTTGTTTCTTCACCATTGCCTGGTTCTTCCCTTAAGTCTGAGATAACAGGCAGATTCGGGTTCACAGATGAATTGTATGGTCTGTTTGAGGATAAAGTAACTCTAAAGTCAAGTCATACAGTTCTTTTAAGAATAAAGGCTACTTGTTGACTTTTCTTTCTCTACAGGGTATGATGGTGGGATGTTCTTGAAAAGAGTTCGTATTAAGAGGCCTGGACAAGAACTCTTTAAAAGTGAACTATCAGAATATATCCAGCCCGAGGAGCTGTATATTGGCGCCAAAGTGAACATAAATGGCTACCTATTTCTTTTGCTCAATGCTGATGAGTATACCTTAAAACACATGGAGAATAATACAGATAAGGTGAATTTCCCTTGTGTAACCCTCGACTTGCCTTTCAGCCCTCTGTGATCTGTGTTTTCCTTTCTCAAGGGCCTTTTTCTTCATCTTGCCACCAGTTTTACATTGTGCATTCACACATGTGGGCATGAATAATGGATCTGTGCGAGTTGGCCACAGGTTCCATCACAGAGGCCAGGTCCTTGTCTACTCTGTTTACATGCTGGGCTCTCCACTGCCCAGCATCACAGATTCCAGGCACAGGCAGGAGGCAGGCCCAGGGTTGAATCAAGTTTCCTGGGTTTTCTGCTGATGCTAACAATGTTTTCAGAAAGAAATTCAACAACTATAGGAAAGGAAGAAAGCCCGGTGCCACACACTTTGACGTCCTAGTTAATTGGCACAGGCCAACAGAGAAGGCCAAAGCTGGACAAACAGAAACCCCAAGGGAATCTGAGAATTGCTGGAGTTGCAACTTCCCATAGCAGGAGCCACCTGAGGCCTAAATAAGAATTTAAGGAGGAATTGGCAACAATGAGCTCAAAGATTTTTTTTTTTTTAAATAGGATGGCAGATGGGAACAGTTTCTAAAAGAGATATTATGGCAATGCTGTTCAGTAAAAATAACATATTGATAAAAATCTTGATTTTAAATGTGGGCTAGTTCAGTGTGCCAACATGTATATTTGGGAATCATTGCTTAACTGAAAAATCTATCTGGAAAAAAATTTGGTTTGAAAAGTCCACCCATACATAAGTAATAATGTTTGTGTACCATTTACATACATACAGTACCAGTTTTGTTTCATTTATATATAAAATGTTCAGGGTTAAGTTGCTAAGCTCAGTCTCTCTGTGTCTCATCATCCATGTCAGTTTGAGTCCTTTGAGAAACAGATGCCAAGATGGCATTAAATGTGCAGGGGAACTGCCTTTGAAGGATAAAGGGGGAGGGAGCAGCAGAAAGCAGGGGTGGGGCAGAAGGGGGTAGCTTTCAGACCTGAGGCAGATCTAAACCCTGTGCTCAGAAAGAGGAAGGAAGGAGGGATGGATAGGAGGAGCTTCAGATGACAGTGCACCTCTGAAAATTTTGACCAGGCCAATTGGGGAGCCCCAGTCCAAAGATTGGCCATCTGAGAGGCTCAGTGTCAGGTAGGAATGGCCTGACTAACTATCCCCCATGCTTAGTCTTCCAGTGGGAACAGCCTAGGGAGAGGGTGGCCTTGGCAGGGACACTGATGTGAACTTTGCATGGATCCAGAAAGTACTGCAGTTGGAGGTTGGAAGATAACAGCACTCCTTGCAGAACAGTCTCTACTGAAGAGAGGTCTGGGCAGCAGGCTCCATGGCTGCCACATCATCTCACTATTTGTAACATTAGGGATTTGGGTTATCATAAAACCACAAACTGGTAGCTATTCGAAAGCCCTGAATTCAGGTGAGAAACTCAATAATTGAGCATTTAGATTCCTGGAGACCAGCAGGCCTGATTTGGAAACTTGACTGTACACCTGATATATAGCTAACATAAGTCTAAGGAGCCTTTTCAAAAGAGCTAACAGGGGAACCAGCAGTTAGCCTAATGGCTATGTCGCTGGACTCCCACGTAGTTGACTGCGGTTCGTGTCCTGGACACGCTGGGCGCCTGTGCGTGCATGCCCAAGATCCCGGGAGGAGAATGGAGGAGAAGGGATTGTGGCGTGACCATCCCCCTGGGGGGTGATTTCTCGCTTTCTGTCTCTCTGTCTCTGTCTGGCGAGCGCATGCGCCCTATAGTGAAAAAACCTCTCAAAAAAAAAAAAAAAAAGAGCTAATAGATCCTTAGATATGTATCTTTCCTGAGCTTCAGTTTCCTCATCTTTGAAAAAGGAGTAACAGGACCAGCAGTTGGTGTAATGGCTGTGTTGCTGGACTCCCAGGTAGTTGACCGCGGTTTGAGTCCCAGACCCTGTGGCTTAAACTCATGCCGGGCACGTGTGCGTGTATGCCCAAGATCCCGAGAGGAGAATAGAGGAGAAGGGATTGCAGCGTGGCCATTCCCCCTGGGGGGTGATTTCTTGCTTTCTGTCTCTCTCTGTCTTTCTGGCGAGTGCACGCACCCTATAGCAAAAACAAAAAAACAAAAAAACAAACAAACAAAAAAAAGGGGAGTAACAGCAGTGCCTGTTTTGTAGAGTCACTACGAACAGCCTCTGTGATAATAATAATGTGTGAAATGCTTAGTTTTATGCGGCTTACAGGAAGCTCAGGCATGTAACTGTTGTAAAGTAGGATTCTTTTCCAAAGAGAGAGTGAATATATACCTTAATATAAAAGATACATAGCACGGGACCAGCAGATGGCATAATGGTTATGTTGCTGGAGTCCCACGTAGTCAATCACAGTTTGAGTCCCGACCTGAAGACTTGAAAATCACGCTGGGCATGTATGTGTATGTGCTCAGATTCCCTAGAGGAGAATGGAGGAGAAGGCCATCCTCCCCGGGAGATGATTTCTCTCTTTCTGTCTCTCTGTCTCTCTGTCTCTATCTCTCTGGTGAGTGCAAATGCCCTATAACAGGAATCACTCTCTAAATATATGTGTGTGTGTGTGTGTGTGTGTGTGTGTGTGTGTGTGTATACACATATATAGCATGAATGTGTGTGTTTAGACATAAAGGGCTTTTCTTCTTTCAGAATGATAAAAGCAGGGTAGGATATTATCTGGTATCAGCAATCCCAAGTGAAAATTGCATTATTTTAAAACTACCCTTAACAAGGACATTCTAAGCAAAGAAAGATTAATATACTCTTTAATATCAGTCTGAGGAGCTTTTTCAAAAGAGCTAATAGATCCTAACATGGAAATAGATGAAAGGAAATGCAAAAAAGGGAGGAGGGAAGAGAAGCAGGGACCCACAGTAAGTGCCAACCCACCTGGTAGAAGAGAAAGGAGCTTGATGCTGAATTACCATCCATGTTTTTATTTTTAAATTTTGTATTCTCATTTTTGATCTCTTACCTGTGGTTATTTACAACCGTGTGCTTTACTGTGTTGAATAAGAAGTGTCCTTAGTAAGTCAAAAAGCTAATCACAATGTAAGAGACAGGAACAGTGAGAAAGAATGTCCTGAGATTACAGTGCCTGGGAGGTTTTTCGACACCCAGCCTTGCTCCCTCATTATGTGTCACCTGGTGCCAACAGTTCCCGGGATGGGCGAGTTCATAGGGAAGATGGGGGTACACTTACTCAACTTTGAATCCCCATTCTTTCTATTATATTAAGTCCATGCCCAAGGGTTACAGGGAGGAGACTAAAGTGAAAGCAAGAGTCGTTTTCTGATTTCTGTGGCCCGTTGTCCCTTAAGCTCATTTATTTTTTTCTTAGATCTGGGGTCTATTCAAATGTCACCTGTTGTCCCAAAGCCTTCTCCAAGGAGATATGAAGCTAGTTGTATCTTCTCTGCATTGGTCTCTGTGGAAAGATATGCCTAGCTAACGTCAGGTTCATAGTATAAAAATCTCTTTGCTGCCATCAGAAAGATTGGGCTCCCACATATTTAAATAAGTCTTTCCTTTCACTTTCCTTTTCTAGTTTCCTTTTAGCAACCTACAACTTGTCCTACAAAAGCTAAAAGATGAAGAAGCAAAATCCAGAGAGATCAAGCAGGTGTTTAGAGCTGCTGATTGTAATTTCACGATAGTGATGGATTATAATACATTCAGGTAAGCCATAATCTACTGTCAATAATCTGTTTTCTCCTCAAGATTGTCCAAGGAGCAGAAAGAACAATAACTTTCTTAGTGCTTTTAAAAAAAAAAATTATTTGGGACCAGCAGTTGGCGTAATGGCTATGTCGCTGGACTCCCATGTAATCGACCACGATTCGAGTCCCGGACTCAGTGGCTTAAACTCACACACGGCACGCAAACTAGCAACTTAAAACTCACACTGGGCACGTGAATGCATCCCCAAAATGGAGAAAAAGGGATTGCAGCATGGCCACCAGGGGGTGATTTCTTGCTTTCACTCTCTCTGGCAAGTGCACGTGCCCTATAGCAAAAACCTCTCCCAAAAAGAAAAAATAAAAGAATTATTTCATTTAACTTTATTTATTTTAATTTGACCAGAGAGAGACAGGGTGTGAGAGAGAGAGAGACAGAGATAGGGAAAGTAAGAAAGCAAGCCACCAGGTCCAGGACTTGAACCACAGTTCGCCATGTAGAAGTCCAGTGCCCTTAACCACCATGCCACTTGCTGGCTCCTCTTAGTGCTTTCTAATTAGTGAACAACATGCTTTATATTAGGAATTGGCATTTCTTTCCTTTTTTCTTTATTCATGATAGAGCATGTGAGAATAAAGGTGAGGGTCCGAGAGAGAGAAAAAAAAAAACACTCTCCAAAGGCTTTAGTCACTCCATGATCCCTTTCCTTCAGTCCTCCAGCCCACCAGATTCTGGGTACTTGCATGTGTACTTGGTGTATTTCAGGCTGCCTGGACTAGGGATTCACAACGTGGCATCTGAGTTCTCTTGAGTAGTGCATTACCCCTGCACGACAGAGCTAGTCCAGGAGTTGGTATTCCTCTTTATTCATATGACTTGTGGTCAAATTTTGTCTAATATCCTAGTAAATTTTTTGTACTTACATATAAAAGAGGTTTCTAGGTGGAAACAGAGACAATAGCATAGTCAGTTGGTCACATCATCTTGAGTCATGGTGTTGAAGAATCAAGGGAATGCCAGAAAAGGTAAGAAAGGCAGAAAAAAAAAATAGAGTTACAAGCACTCCTCTGACATCTGGGGGATGAAGAGGACATCTCCCTAGGTGTGCAATCAAGTTGGAAAACACAGTGGAAACTTAACTGATTATCAGTAAAGGGGTAATAGGTATACATCTGGGTATATATACACTCACACATATATGTATACTCTGAAAGGCATAAAATTATTGGAATCAAGAGGAAAATATATAGCATTAGTTAGAAATTCTGCAAGAAATCATGAACAATAAAGATTTTTCTCTAAGGTAAAGTTGAATTCTGGGACTATCCAGTGGCTGACCTAGGCAAATTTCCAAACAGCGGAAACACAGAGAAATTCAAATTCAGGGTCGAGTACAATTGTGAGACTTCTTAGCCTTGAAAACAAAGTGAATGGAGTGTTCAGGAGAATGTAAATTAAATCATGGATGGAGGACAAAGGGGACTTTCTCTTTGGGCTGAGAATTCTGGCTCCTGAAAACAATAGTGGCTGAAAGTTATATAGTAAACTCGGCTTGATGCAGTCAAGATGTGGACTGAGAACAGAGGAAGTGAGTCCAGGAGAGGGTCGCAGGGAGGTCTTTCCAACCCTGTGTCTGCAGTTGCCTATTGCATCACTACCTGGTGGCCTGGAGCCCACCATTTGGCCTAAAGTGCCCCGAGAGCTTTGAAGAATCAAGGGAATGCCAGAAAAGGTAAGAAAGGCAGAAAAAAAAAATAGAGTTACAAGCACTCCTCTGACATCTGGGGGATGAAGAGGACATCTCCCTAGGTGTGCAATCAAGTTGGAAAACACAGTGGAAACTTAACTGATTATCAGTAAAGGGGTAATAGGTATACATCTGGGTATATATACACTCACACATATATGTATACTCTGAAAGGCATAAAATTATTGGAATCAAGAGGAAAATATATAGCATTAGTTAGAAATTCTGCAAGAAATCATGAACAATAAAGATTTTTCTCTAAGGTAAAGTTGAATTCTGGGACTATCCAGTGGCTGACCTAGGCAAATTTCCAAACAGCGGAAACACAGAGAAATTCAAATTCAGGGTCGAGTACAATTGTGAGACTTCTTAGCCTTGAAAACAAAGTGAATGGAGTGTTCAGGAGAATGTAAATTAAATCATGGATGGAGGACAAAGGGGACTTTCTCTTTGGGCTGAGAATTCTGGCTCCTGAAAACAATAGTGGCTGAAAGTTATATAGTAAACTCGGCTTGATGCAGTCAAGATGTGGACTGAGAACAGAGGAAGTGAGTCCAGGAGAGGGTCGCAGGGAGGTCTTTCCAACCCTGTGTCTGCAGTTGCCTATTGCATCACTACCTGGTGGCCTGGAGCCCACCATTTGGCCTAAAGTGCCCCGAGAGCTCATTTGTTGTTTTAACAAAGCTCTTTTGTGCCTCCAAAATGTTCTTTTGAGAGAAGCAGTCAGAGGACGTATTTTTATTGTTTTGAATTCCCAACCTTCTGGGATCAATAAGAATTTTTAGTTCTTTGTTATTGTTCATAGTCACATACACATGTTCATGGTGTTTTGCAAAATAAATGGAGACAGAGTAAAGAGCAAAGACAATTACTCAGGCCATGGACTAATGGGAAGCAGTGGAGGAGAAAACAAGAAATTTCCATCAGAAATGAAGGAGTGGTTTCGTTTTAGTATTTTGTGTCCTTTTACAAAAGCATCCATTCTCCCAACACTCTCGCAAAGTCTATTGGAAACACTCTGGTGAGTTTATGGGGAGCATTTAGGCCAGACAAGGTGGGAGATCCAAGGAGAGAAAATTGCTCTGTGGATGGAGGCCTGACCTTAACTGTGGGTGGGATAAAGGGCTACCACCGGGTATGATGGGAGGCGTGGCCTCAAGACTGTGCATGCTGAGAAAGAACCATCTCTCCATCCCAGAAAGCCCTTAAGATGAAAATCAGATCAGGTTACGCTTGGCCTGGAAAATCCTGCAGTGGCTTGCCATTGTCCTCCAAGCATTTGACTGCAGCCAGCAGGGCCTTGAGTGATGTGTCTGTTTGCATTTTCAGTGTCATCACTTCTTTTTCTCCAGCCGTGTTCATTGGCCTCGCTGCCTGTCTTTTGGTTTTGCAAACACATCAAGCTCTTCCCTGCCTCCAAGCCTATGCACGCACAGGTCTGGCTGCCTGCAATGCTCTCACCACCATCCTTTTCATTGCAAACTCTAGGACTCATCTCAAGTGTCAGCACCACAGAGGGACTTGCATTTTCTGAGTGTCCTAGCTAAAGTAGATAACTCATTTTTTCTTAGCCCCTTGTTGATAATTTTCCTAGCTCTTAGCACAGCTTGCACTTATTTTATTTAGAGACCTGTTGGAGAGAGGGGATGTATGTGTATATGTTTATGTGTGTTTCCTCTTACTAGAATGTGAGTTTTCTGGGCCAGCAGGTGTCATGGTGGTTAAGGTGCTGGACTCCCACATGGTTGACTGCGGTTCAAGTCCTGGACCTAGTGGCTTGAAAATCATGCCAGGGGTATGTGCATACGTGCTCCAAATCCCAGGAGGAGAGTGGAGAAGAAGGGATTACAGTGTGGCCATGGCCCCAGGGAGTTGGGAGGGATTGCCAGGGGGTGAGCCTAGTGCTAGGCTCAATACATATACATAGTTACTGAGTGAACTAATGAACCACTAGAGTTGTTTTTTGGGGTTCTAATTTGGCAATGGTAGTACAGCCTCCAAAAGAGAGTGTAGACCAAGAGTCAAGATGTTGAGCACTTAGCCCTTCATGCTGGGGGCTCCCCTTCTGTGCACGGTCCACAAGTGTGAGTCCCTGCATATTGTTTTTAGCCCTCTCCTTTGCTTCTCATATTCTTCCCTGGGAAAAGTCAAAGGAACTACATAGCCAGTCACTATCACATCACACCCTAATTTAATTTTTTGCTATTATTTTTAGCTAATATTTTCTCTGTCCTTTACTTATGCACATACCTATATCTGTATATCGTGGCTCCTCTCACCAAGATGTAATAGGCACCTTCTTCTTGTTTTCTGCTTTAACCTTACCACTTATCACAGTGAATCAAACCACAGTGAGTTAGTAAATACTAGTTGAGGCCCAGCTGCAGTAAAGCAAGCAGTAGGTGCCACTGCATGAGGCTGGGGCAGCATGGGATGCCTGGATTCAGTTCCTGGACCAACCTAAACAAGTTCAATATGGTGGTATGTACCCGTGTTCCTAGCTAACTGGGAGGCAGGGGCAGGAGGATCAAATTTGATGAGGTCCTGTCAGAAATACCCACCATCATCTTCTCTCTCATAAAAATAAATAAATAAATAAATAAATAAATAAATAAATAAATAAATCGTAATTGAGTGGATATATTTTATCCAGTTCTGACTGCTTTGGCTTTGATTTATAGTCTGATGTCTCCATATTAATTTCTCAAGCTCGGACTTTTCTCCTGAACTATAGATCTGGATGTCTCCCCCTTGGGTGTCCCTTAGGCGTCCCAAAATAGCTTTCCCTAAATTAGCCTCATTTTCTTCTCCCATTAAGTTGCAGCTGAGGACCTTATCTTATCACTGTATGTCCCCAGGGCCTGGGCCAGGGATCTGTCTCCCCCCTCCCTTCTCCTCTTTCTTTACCTCCCCCATCCACTGTTTGTATTTGTGCTTCTTCTTATTTTTTTTTTTTAAAAAAAAGTCTGTGTGTGTATGTGTGTGTGTGTGTGTGTGTGTTTTCCATGACAGAGAGACAGAGAGACAGGCACCACCAGCAGGATTTTTATGTCATGACCCACCTTCAGTCCCCAGCATGCATGGCTCTTGGTTGCACGTCCCTGGAATATACAGGGAAGTCCCAGGAAATAAAACAGGACCTTCCCATGTGGGTTGCATTACTGCTGCACCTTGCCTGGCCTCTGCAATTGTACTTTTTAACTTACCTCTGGAAACTTTTTCTTTTCTTTGTCTCTAGCTTAACTGTCATAGC